GACCTTGCGCTTGCCAGGCAGGCGCTTTTGCCACTGAGCTAAATCCCCAGCCCCCAGGCTCTTTGATTCCATATTTAAAAACACCTCATGGTATCTGTTGGAACTAAATCTATGCTTCCAACCCAGTGCAGTATCAGGAGCATCCATGGAATCTAGTACACATCTATTTTATCAATAGAAACAAAAAGTCTTCACCCTCATTCCTTATACCATAGGATCATTGTTAAGTTCTATTCAATACCAGTCTGCATATAAAGAAAGAAATGTAAATTAGTTTCAACACACTAATATTTGTGTGAAAGTATGGCTATCCTGGTTTTCAGCCTGAACTGTTATTTCATGTTTGTCATGCAAATCAGCTCTCTTAAATGGCATGCAAATATCTCAACAGATTGCAAATATGTAACTGCTACTTGGAAAAATTTGAATAAAAATGGTGTCTTAAATGTAAGTCAGATAAAATATGCATATTAATAAATTTTTGCCCAGCAAGAAATCTACTCAAAACTTTCTATTAAGTATGGTAAGCATCATGTAAAATAAACCCTAAATTTATAGGAGTAGAACTCTTGAGGATTCAAATTACCATACATTAGTTGCTTCATTACACTGTATATTCATTCCATGTTTGTATTGCTGAGGATATCACACAGACTTAATAAAAAGCACTTGAATGAATGATTTAAAGAGTATGTATTTGAAATCTATGTGTACTGTATGCAGTCTAAAATTAATTTATAATTATATATATTTATATATAATTATATATTTATATTATAAAAATTATAAAAATATATTTATAATTATAAAAATTAATTATAAACACAATAATCAAATAGCACATAATTCCATATGATATTTAAAGGTTTCTCCTTTTGTTTTAGGAAAAAAAGGAAGAGAAAGGAAACGAAAAAAACTGAATAAAGAAGAAAGTAAAGAAGCAATTCCTGACAACAAAGGTCTGGAACCCAGCAGTGACACCCCAGAACAACGAGAAAACAAAGACAAACAGCAGCAGAAGAAGAGAAAAGTCCAAGAGAAACCACAGAAATCGGTATCGGTCAGCACTGTGCCCTAAAGGGTCCCGTGAGATTAGTGTAGACTCTGATGCTGCTGTCCCAACCAGATGCCCAGGAAAGGCGCCATAGCCACTGGGACCACAGATGGACAACATATCAGTTACTCCTCTGTCTAGACAACATTCCGAGTAGTTGTATATCCTTCATACAGGCATAGCTAACAACAGACAGCCGAAAGTTCAAAGAAGGGATACTTTCCCATGGTTATCTTACATGCTTCTGTGCATTTGTAGAAGACAAGAAATTTTGTACATAATTATCAATAAGCTATAAGCTATCATCTGCATAATGATGACATCTGGAGAAGAAATGTCTTTTCCCTATATTTTTCCAGCTATTGTTTTAAGAAGCAAAAGATTAATTCTGCAAATTCAAAGACGCAGTGTCCCTTCAAAACAAATAAGAGATCGAGGAGAGAGACATCCTGCCAAGGACAGTGTGGTTTTGTCCGGGAGATCTAGAGAGCTCACAATTAGGTCCTGGCATTGGAATGATAGAATTTATCACGCAGGAGCAACTTCATCCTAGAAGTGCTAAGATTACTCTATTGCTCTCATCCTGTGCTCCTGCAAGAAACGCAAGCGTGCACACCAGGGTTAAATATTCTGTGTGGGATTGGAGGAAGGCAGAATGTGGAAGAAATCATAGAGTTGGAGATTCCTTTTGGGCTTTACAAAACTGTGAAGGGTCACGAGCACCTGGAACAGGTCTCCAGTCTATGGCAGCACTGCTGGGTCAGCCTCGCTGCCCCGTGGATTGCATGGGTCTATCAACGTGTGCCTGTAACTTTCTTCCAAAAACAGAACCACACTTATTAGGAGGAAATTCTGATTTCATAGAAAACAAAAAAAAAATAGAGCAAGGAGAGTATACCATGTTTGCAAAGTCATGTGTTCCCTTTCTCTCTCAATGAGGGAAAAACAGTTTTATTACCGGCTTACTGGTCCACCTGAACTGAAAGGAATACTACTTTCTAACATGGTGTGTCCAGTAAAGGAGAAAACCACCACAATAAATATATTTGTTAATAGTTTTTGAAGTTTGGTTCATTTTTAAAGTTTGGTTCAAACTTTGTTTGATTGTTTGTTTTACTGGGGAATTTCCTGAGTGTTTAAAGGGTCTCAGGAACTAGAAAAGAATTCTGCTAAATCAGAGAATGTGTGTCCTGTATAACTCCAAATGTACAACATTTCTCAGTGTTTTTACCTTTTGAACCTGCTTTTGTCTGAGCGAATAGAGACTTTCTGGGGTGTTAGGGGAAATGTATTCAACTTTTATCTTATTTTAATCAAGAAATTCTAGTGACAGACTCATGGCCTGCCTAAATGATTTCACTGCCCCCTGAGTGCCTAGAGATGAACATCTTTTCTTGTATGTTGGTTCCTCCTGCATTGTCAACATTTAGTCTTTTCTTCTCCATATTTTCCCAGTCTGTGCATCTCTTTTGGGGACGGAAGTCACCCTAGTTGATGGCCTCATCATTGTTTCACAGAGGACCCAGCCAGCCCAGTGCAGAAGGAGGCATCTCTGAGTACCCAGCACAGGATCTTGAGTCACCCTAAAGCCTCTCTGCTGTAACGGAAGGATGCATAGCTGCTCTGTCTACCACGTTTCCTAGCCCTCTCGAGACCACTGCTTTCTGAAGAATTTGCAATGAATATGCCTTCCGTCTTCTGTCTGTCTGTCTGGGCACCCTTTCTCCACCAACTGTACTGCCCATGTTGGCTACTTGGCTTAAATGATTTTCTACTTCTCTTTTTCTTTTCCTAGATATCAAAATGTTACATGATGTATTCCTGTTTTTCACTCTGGTGCTCTTTCCTTGTCTGCATGACATCAGTTTTTCAACTGACTCACTCTGTTCCAATGTGTCAGATAATTCTATCTTCAACAAAACTCAGGTTACCAAGGACAGGTAAACTATCCTATGGAATTACATGAGGTAGAAGTGTGCCCCCATGTTTCCGGCACCATCCTTATCCTCAGTGTTATTCAGATGAGTATAAGCATGCAAATTATTTTTGCATATCTTTCTATATTTTTTTCTCCATCATTTCAACAAACACGAGGAAGGTCTATACCTGCATTCCCAATTGTGGAAAAGTCTTACAGAAATCAGGACACAGAAATGACTGTTATGTCCTCCTATGTGATCCTCTTGACCATGGCAGTGGATCTCCATTCTTGATGGAAAAAACTTAATCACAAAGTTAAAGTTGTTAAAGTACTAAGGAGTTCTGGTGCCGTGATGTGCACCTATAATCTCAGGATTCTGGGAGGCTGAGATAGGAGGTTTACAAGTGTGGGCCCAGCCTAAGCAAATGAGTGCTTTAGTGAGACCCTGTCTTTAAACAAAAGACAAATAAAACAGGATATATGTCAGGGTCTCTAGTGCTACACACATGGTACAAACGAAGAAAAAAATGCAAACTAATAATAATGAAGGTTAATTCATATGTTGGGTAAAATATAAATGAAGACAAAAATAATGTCAATTTTAACTAGATTTTTTATCCACTTGTAATAATGTGTTAAACATATGTATATTCAAACTAGCATCTTTGAGCAAGAACTCATAATCGACTTCTGGTACAATTCCTGCCTAGTCACAGAAGGCATTGCTGATAGTAACAGATGGAGGTTAAGTTCTCAGTACAAAGACAGAACTGAGGGAGTGGAGAACATAGAGTGTCTGATCTATGACACTGCCCAGGTCTCCAAATTCTGCTTTAGAACAGAAGAGGCTTCTGTTACATTCTGTGGATAAGTCACTCGTCTGCTCTGCTTTGGTCCCCAATTCTTATGCCCATTGACACAGCATGGGACTGGAGGTGATCACTATGGTCTAAGGCAAGGGAACATCTGGCACTTCCTCTTGGTCAGGGTGATGCTCTTCAAGAAGTCCTCAAGAGTGACAACGTCCCTAGGAAATTGTCTTAATCCTGGTTTCCCAAAAATGGAAGTGCACAGACCATCAGAGAACATAGATTTAGCTCTGCAGGTCTGATGTTATGAATTAAAAGTGGTTCATATTAGTGAGTATTAAACTATTGGAATGTATAACATAAGGAAGAAATGCAGCTAATGCTAAGATGGAGGCAGATCCTGTCCAGGGGAGATGATAAAGAAAGTAGAGTGCTCTGTAGATGGAGTTAGCCAGTGTTAATCCTGGAGTTTTGCTACTCACTGGTTGTAACTGGCACGACCTTGTGCAAGTTGAGTGGTCTCTCAGCTGTCATTGCTCGTCTGCAAAAAGAAAGTGGAGACACCTCTCAGAGGGCTGTAATGGCAGTTTCAAGGTTCATTACCTCTATAATAACTCCTGTTGACAGATGAATATCAATAAAAAGTAACAACTAATTCCACCTCATATATATAAGTCAGTTTTATTTCTTGATTAATGATAAGTGGTAGTATTCATGAAAGTATATGCGTAGCAGTTTCAATGAAATGGGTAATGATAACTACGGATAAATACCAGTTTACAATACATCTTGCATCTTCTTAAACTTAAGAGATTACTTGTTCTTAACATTATGCACTTTTTGCAACTAAGCATAAGAAAAGAGTCCACCTTTCTTTTCCCATGGTTATATTTTAATAGCAGAGGAATTGACTAGATCTTTAAGACAACTGCAACTACTGCTAGGCAATTAGGGAAGAAAGCCTGCTTTGCAAGGTTGCTGTGTTTCAGGGTGCAACTTAGAGTGCAGAGGAAGTTTGTCTGAGTTTGTGCCCCACTTCCAGAAGGAGATTAAATAAAACTGCTGGTGATTAATTGATAAATAGAATTTTCCTATTTTAAGTAATAGCCCTTCATCTCACTAATTTAGTCCATTTTTGTCATTTTTAGAAAAAAAGTGAAAACAAGTAGCTGAACCGCCTTTATGTTAGACAATTGCTCTTTGACTAAATTCTGTTACATAATTATGCCACAATGATGCCAACCCCTTTAAGAGAGTTACTGACATCCTTGTTTTACCAATGAGGAAACCGGAGGGCAGAGAAATGCCCAAAGCCGCACGACCAGCAACCAGTGAGCCTGCAAGGCACACCCTGATCTGGCCCTCGCTATGGCTTGCCCCCCCATCATTCCCCTTAAGGTCCTATTTATTTTTAGTTCCAAGATTATTCATGATGTGGTATATCAAAGTCCTATTCCATGATCTGAAATAGTACCTTATGAAAAGGCCCAAGAAAACCACATCTTAGAGGACTCAACCCAAAATAGGACTTCACCCCGGGTGTGTATGTGTGTGTGCACACGTGCGTGCACATGCTCCAGGATCCTAGGGATGAGTTGGTAGGGCACTACATGAAGGAAGACAACTATGTTGCAGACAAGAGGAAGAAAAAGGAGGAAGAAGAATGGTGTGTGACCAGAGAAAGACAAAAGTTCAGACTGAAAAGGAATAGCAGGTCTGATGACTGGAAGTCTGGAATTTCTGTAGTCCGCATGAGCCCTCGATTCAGTTATTTTCCAGTGTGTGATCAGTGTGTACCAACTCTGTCAATTTTCACTCAGCATTTCAGTGATGTAGAAAGAGCAAGCAGGCCATCCTCACCATTGGAACTGCTGAAACAGCTTCCTTCAAATGATGCCTCACTCTCTCCCAGCTACTTTTACATTTATTAACAAGATTTTGATAGTCACACAGCTGTTTCTGGTTGTAATATTGAAATAATGCAGAAGCTGACATTTCAATCACATAGATATAAAAAATGATGGAAGGGAAAGAAGAAAGGAAGAGAGGGGGAAGAAAGAAGAGAGAGAAAGCAAAAAAGTAGAAAGTACTTGTATTAATAGTCATTAAAATATATTTGTAAGAGAATCTCAAGTACAAGGAACATTCCATAAACTGGAAAATAGAAAGCATGAAAATGGCAGGAGACCAAATTACACAACCACAAAATAACCTGACATATAAGAAGTTCATAAAATATCCTATACTTCTGTATTTATAGTTTGGTGCAATGAAAATTGTTCAAAGTGATGATCTAATTCAAGATACTGAATCTTGTATTAAACATTAAGTTTTTCTTTTGAACATACAGAACTGACAAATACACTGGAAAAATTTATAAACAACAATACTAAATTTAATTACCACATTTTCTGGCTAATTTGGGTTCAACTGATAAATTAGTTTCCTTACTTTTAAAATCAGTTACTATTTAAGCTATTCCTCAATTCCATCACAGGTAGATTTCAAGTAAGAAATCCTCTTACATCAATTTATTTATTTTTTTGGTTTTTTTCCGGTACCAGGAATCGAACTCACGACCTTATGCTTGCCAGGCAGGAGCTGTGCGGCTGAGCTAAATCCCCAGCCCCCTCTTACATCAATTTAAAAGTTCAGCCAGGTGTGGTGGTGCACTTCTGTAATCTCAGCACTCAGGAGGCCGAGGGAGGAGGATTGCTGCAAGTTCGAGGCCACCCTGCTATAAAGTGAGTTCAAGGCCAGCCTGAACTGCATAGTTGAGACCCTGTCCCCCCCCAAAAAAAACCAAACCAGCAATAACTAGTTCATTGAAAATTTTATTACCATTATAGTAAAGTCTAACATAATCCAATGCACTGTAAGTGCTTTGAAATTGTAGAGCATAATAAACACATAATCTGTGATTCCTGCTGAGTATTGCAGCAGCCGGCCCTTGCTTCCCCATTCATCCAATACAGCCCTTCCTGGAGATTTTAGTCTTAGAGGAAATTATCCATTTACTTCCCACAAAGGAGCCAAAGGAAGAAGCGATACTTGAGATGACTACCGTATTTATTTTAAAATTCACGGATGTGACATTTCCTTCTGGTGTATTTTTTCTATAGTGGCTGGCATGGGAGATAAATTCAAGGGCTCCCCAGAGGCATGATTTTACCAATGTGGCACTATGCATACAGTGACCTAAGTTACTATTCCATGTTGAATATTGGGCAGAAATATTTCTGAGTCAGTGATTGCTACCATACATGGTCTCTCCAGATCAAGCTGACCCCAAATCCTCTAGGAGGTAGGAAATTCTGCAGTGGCACAATCGTCC